TCTTGTGCTTACTTCCTTGCGTACGGATGACAGCTTCGTATGACTTAATTTACTTTCTGGTGCGGCCAGGGGGGGTGGGGAACGGCTCCAATCACCTCCTGCAACGAACTGACTTGGGGGCTTGGACTGGCACCTATGACCTCCTACAACTCGTTCGCCTCAGGGCGATCAACACATTCATACACGGACCTGCAGTGTTGCGGCCTTGCCTCCTCCTCGTCGTCCTCGACACCGCCGCCGCCGCCGCCGCCGCCGCCGCCTCCGGAACAATTTCCGTCTTCGTCGTCGCCCCCGACCTTCTTGTATACGTGCACCCTGCCCGTGTTCCCGCTCACCAGAAAATACAGCCTTTTCGCCGCTTTCAGCTGCAGCAGCTCCTCGCCGCCTCGGTCCCCGCCCCCCACTCCCTCGCTCCCGCCCCGGTCCTGCCCCGCGTCTGGGCCTCTATCGCCAGCAGGACTCAGACAATCGGACGACAGTGCCAGGGACGGAGCGTCATCGCCCTCCCCTGCAGCAGCCTCTCCTTCGGTCAGTGCACTCGGCAGAACCTCCGTGTTGCGGCCCGGAGTTCCTGCTCCTGCTCCTCCTCGTCCTGCTCCTCCTCTTCCTCCTCCTCCCCGTCTTCTTATTTCTCCTTCTTCTACACCTCCTCCTCCTCCTCCTTCTACATCTCCTCCTCTGCCTCCCCCTCTCTCTCCGCCGCCGCCTTTCGTTCTGCCCGAAACCCTCGCAGCAGCAGCAGCAGAACCCTCCTCCTCGGCATGCTGGCTCAGATCGACCAGCATGAAAGGGGAGCACAAGCTCCCATCCCCGTGCGGTGATGGCCTACCGCTGCGGTCGGTACCACCGCTGCCGCCAACGCCACGCGTGCCTCGCCGACAGGGGGTGGGGGTGACGGCGAAGTCGCTGCCATCGTCCCCGCTCTGCGACAGGTCGGAGCCCGCGCCGCCGGCTGCAACTCGGCGCGGCGAGGCCTCCGCTTGGGCGGAAGCCCCACTACCACCACCACCAGGAGGAGGGTCTTGACTCCCGACCTCCGTTTGCCCCGACGCACCGGCACTGATACTGTCACTTTCGTCATCATCGCTGCCGGCACCAACAAGTGCCACCTCTATCGGCGGCCGCGACCCGCTGTCGACACCAAGACGCGAGGACGGTGGCGGCGGCGGCCGACAAGGACGGCAGTTGTGCCCGTACGCCTCGAAGGGGTTTCCAAGAGAACCGTGGGCGTTACCGGACCCCGGCGGCGAGGACCGCGGGCGCTTGCGGCTCACGACGGGGGAAGCAGTGGCCGCCCCGGACGTGCCGGGGGGTGAATCCATACTCATCATCGTCGTTGTCTTACGAGCGCCCTTGCCCACGCCCTCCCCGCCACCTGTTCTCGGAGACTTTGCTCTCCCCTCCTCGCGTCCCAGCCATCTCGCCAACCCTTCGTCACCGCGTGCGCCCGGCGAACTTGACGACATTTTCTTCTTCCCTTTGGCGCTGCTGCTGGTTGCTGCCTGGCTGAAGATGTTGTTGGGCTTGGGCGATGTGCTGCCGGAGGGCGGCGCCACCGGGCTTTCTGCGATCGCCCGGAGCAGCTGAAACGTCGGCGCTGGACATGCGTGAAAGTATCGCGGTCATCGTTTATTGTCGGCCGGGGGGGGCGGGGGTGTGTGTGTGTGGACGAGAAAGGTATGCTAGGTATGATAGCTGGTGGATGCTGGTCTTGCAAAGCAGTCATGTCGAACCAAGTTGGGACAAGACAAGACGCCGATGAACAGAGTACGTTTTTCCGTACTATATGGTGACTTCGCCCTACAAAAATCGGAACACTTTTGGAAGCAGCAACAATATCCTAACAAAGAGCAGCCACAACAAAAGCAGCAGCAGTAGCAACAGCAAACCACGGCCACCACCACGAGCAGGACCACCACCATCACCATTACCATCAACAACAACAACAACAACAGGGGCAGCAGCAGCAGCAGCAGCAGCAGCAGCAGCAGCAGCAGCAGCAGCAGCAGCAGCAGTGACACCAACAGTAACACCAACAGTAACACCAACAGTACGACCGAGCAAGCCCTATCCCCTCACATTGAGATGGCCGGTGGGTCGGGACGTCCAATGGCGTCGACAGCAGCGCGTTCCTCAGCTCGGCGTCCAAGTCCGTCTCCGTCTCCTCCGCCACGCCACCATCATCGTGGTCGTCATCCTCGCTACCATCGTCAGAGCCAGAAAGCTCGATGCAAGAAGCGGAGGAGTCGTCGTTGTCGTCGAGGCGGCCGGTAAAGCCGCCGTCTCCCACGGTATCCTCGTTGGCGCCGGCGGCCCAATCGTTTGTTGGCAAGGAGGTCGGTGCACGGCGGCATCGACGCCTGCAAGAAAAGAGAAAGGTAACGCCATAACCCAGTATTTCGAAACTGACAACAGTGGTTGCTTGGATTTCTTGTTTTTTACCACCGTCGTATAAACGTGGAGCGAGAGCAGCGAAGAGCTAGCTTCATACAGCACAAGCCACCAACTGGGCAAGGAACACCCGAGTCCTTGAGCGGGTTACCCCTCCCCACACCCCCCCCCGATGTTTGCGCCGCCCCCCCCGGTGTTTGCCATCGGGGTTGGGTTTTCGTCGGTTGGCAACGATGTTGTAAAACAAGCCGATCACTTCATGAGCTCGGCAACCAGGATACTACTTTCTTTTTCTTTTTTGCCGGTAACCATAGTGGTGGTCGAGTAGATCATGTTGTGCGGGGTGGAGAACCCTCACTCCGCGCAAGGGGGATGATCGCACCACGTTGTGTT